TATTTTATAATGTTGTGTATTTTATAATAGAGAAAACTGCTTTAAATTATTAAATATTGTTATTATGTGATTTTTGTAAAAGAAATTTAAACAAAAAGATGTAATGCAAATTACTTAATAAATCTCAATTATACTTACGTTATATTTATACTTACGTTATATTTATTGTCAATTTTATATTAATTACTGTAATGGATATGATTGAAATTATTTGTATCTTGCAATAACACAGTTTAACATTTCTTTGGGATCTGAATAAATGAAGCGTTTTCCGATTGCATTTTTGTTCGCTGAAAATAAATTTGATCGTGGAATTGGCTTAACACATCAGGTTATCGAAAAAATTAAGATTAAATGTATAAAAATTGGCGTTTTTGGCCACATTTACCATTTCTTTATGGCAAAAATAAATTTTTTTTCAATTTTATTTACGCCATTTCATAGTGCTATCCCTCCAATCTTTTATTTTTACCTATAAAATTAATTCATATTTATTAGAATTCTATCATATTTGGATTTAGCGGACATTAAGATACACATTTTTTTTAATTCTGTCTATTTTCAATTTCGATTTATCATAACGGATCTACTATTTTTAATTTTGATATAATAAATTTTAATATAATTTGAATTCAGCAATCATCTTAACAATAAAATTATGATATCTAGGAAACTTATTTTTACACGAAAATAGGCCAGAAGATTCATTTTAATTATATATTGTAGAAGAGTTAAAATTTTTATGATTCGGTCAAAAATAATAATTGTATCTACTTGAAAGAACCGCTAACAAGGATCCCAGACGAGCATGAATATTACGAGTAGTGGGAGATTGGAGGGGTTAGACAATCGCGCGCGACGGCAATACCGTGATCTTCATATGTTAATTATGCATATAACAAAAAATCCGTGATAAATATAAATTTATTTTATAGGTAAAAGATAGCACTTTAAAGTGGCGTAAATGAAATTGAAAAAAAGTTTATTTTAGCCACAAAAAAAATCGGCCAAAAACGTCAATTTTAACACATTTGACTTCAATTTTTTCAAAATACCTACGTATTAGGTCATACTAACATATTAGGACAATTCCACAGCGAATTCGTTTTCAGTGAATAAAAATACATCGGAAAACGCTTCATTTATTTAGATCTCCATAAAAAATCTGTTGTATAACTGTGCAATTAATGCAAAATTTATGATTTCTGATAAATTATAAATTGTTAGATTTTACATAATCAAAGAATTTACTTATTTGTATTCAATACAATTTGTTATTAATATTTTATTATTAATATTTGTTACTAATATATTTTATTTGTTAATACAATAACATTATTATAAATATATTTACTAAATTAAATATATTGTTTAATATTTTTGTAATAACAAATTAAATATCACAGTACAATTCGCAAAATGGATTGACTGGCACTATTATTGTGAAGAATGTGTAATAATACTTAGGATAAACTTATGATTAATTTATAAAATATTACATAGGTTTTAAAAATATATGAGTTATTTTATAGAAGAGAATAAATTATAATGAATTTAGGAAATAAAATACAAAAGATGTAATAATGCTAATATTGTTTAACAAATACTACAATCAAAAACTTTATTCAATATTTATTCAATATTATAATGCATTGAATTTATCGATATTAGCTTGTTAATTAAAAGGCTAGTATTACAAGTCTGTAAGTTATAATCACAAAGATTTTTTACAGGTGACTGTTTCCTTCTTACGAAGCAAATTAGACCTTTTTTGCACAGTGTGCGGACTATGCGTCGATAATCGTTTATTGTTTACATTGATTCATATTCAAAGTTTTTAATTGCATTGAGTCAATAATGAAAGAATCAAAATTGAAACAAAAATTTTGCTATTGTGCTCTATTGATAAATTTATAGAAAAGTACTTGATTTTCGATTAAGAATTTTTCCATCTATTTCTAAGTGCTTGTAAATAACTTAAGTATTTTTTGCAATTAATGATAATGGTAATAAATCCAGAAATTACACGTTTAAAAGATTTATGATAAAATTATCGAAAATATTTTTCTAAATTTTTTTTAAAATTCGCTAATATTTTTTTATCTTAGTTTATTTTTCCTTTTTAAAAATTTTTTGTTATATAATATTACTCTTTTTAAGAGCTAATGTTGCGCAAACACATTCGCACACTTGATTAATTAATCTATCAGATCATAGATTATTCATATTTTCTGCGATTAAACGATTAGAATTGAATTTTTAAATAATACGAAAATTGTTCCATGATTTAATCCTTTCCTATTTTTTTGTCAAAATTAAATTCTGGTTTAGCCTTGATGAGACCATTTATATTTATTATAAAATCTTAAAAAATTTAACAAACTTAACAATGTAAAACTCAATTAAGCATGTAAGGAAGATTCAATATAGTGAAAAATAAATTTTCCTAATTCACTCTATTGCTTATTTTGCAATAAAATTTCAAATTTAATTTATATGTTTTCCAGCCCGTCTGATCGTCTGGATCACCACCAATTGATCTATGCACCGGGGAAGAGTTGGACGAATGTAAATTGTTGAATAATACTACTAGCAATATTCTGGAATGAGTCAGATAATGCTTTTTCCACAAGCGGCGAAAGCTCCTTCAGGAAGAGATCGAAATTGTTGTTGATAGCCAAATTGATGACATCTCCAAGGACTTGTTCACCACCAAATAAATTATCTAGCTTTATTATACCCTTGTCTACTGAGATTTTCAATTTGAAGTCCGTGATGCGCATTTTCTCTTCGCCATTCTCAAGGTATTTCTCAATTTGTATTTTGCAGGCGCCTGAAAAATTAACCAAAATTTTATAAGATGAATAAGTCAAATATATAAAATTATGGAATTATAATTTATATAATAGCAAATACCTATGCAATTTGAGAAATTGCCGTGAATCGGGCCGGATCCACGAATCGGAAGTAACAGTAACTTGCCATCCATACCATATGTCCCTTCAACTTGAATATTTGGCAATTCCACATCTACCAAGACGATCAAAGTGTTGAAGTCGATTCTTGGAAAAAAAAATATAGCATTAACATACAATCAGGAAAATAATGAGAGAAATTCATTGTACGCTCATCATATCTTTCAATTCATGTTTGTAATTTCCATTTATACAAATAAAATTATTATGTTAATTAACTTATGAAATTCCTCAAAATGATGCAAGTGAGGTTTTCATTTTATGTATCTCAATTAATCTCACTTGATCTGAGACTGACATAAAGATTACTAAGATCATTAATGGATTTTATCAAACTTTATTGCAGCTATTGTTACTATTGTATCACTATGTGCTGTATTTTAACTTCGTAATTTTCTACTATAATATAAATTTTTTTATAGATACGTTGTAATTAAAACAAAATTACAATAAATTACATTTAATTGCTAGAAAATGATTCTTATAAATTCTTAGCATTATTGTTAAGATATTAGATATTGCAATATATATACAAATAGTCAATATGAACAATATGCATCCTGGAATGTGGATAGATATCTCGATGGATACATAATATATTGTCATTAAAATAGTGAATCTCTCTTTCACAGTTCTCATACATGGGAAATTATTGTACTACAATAACTGACAATTTCAATACACAGTGTGAAGCCTTTCTTAGTATTCACATTATTACAACGCTATTAATTTATAAGTTTTGCCTCTTTCTAATGCTCGATATATTGTTTAACAAATGTCTTTTTAAATTTCGAATGCTACAAAATAACGAAAAACATCACCGGTGATTACAGTTTCCATCCGGTTTTCTGGTCTTTATAAAATATTTATCTTTCTTCCTTTCTTGCAATCTTCGAAGAATAAGCATGAGTACTGTTGACGCTTTATAGACATACTTCGAATGTTCGTGTCACGGCCATCTATGCGTACAATACAAACACAGCATCCGTTCCTCAATTACACATTACAAATTGCATCATTTTTTAAAAATATAATTATGCATCTTTTTAAATTAATTGAATCGTCATTATTCTGTGCGTGAAAGTATTAAAGTCATCGAAAATAAATTTCACGAAAAATTTTGTATTTCATGTTAAAATATACTTTTAAAAAATATATGAAAGTTTTCATAAGTAATTTTTAATTTTAGTACATTAGTAGTTAATATTTTTAGTATACTATGTTTATAGGAATTACATTTAAAAAATCATTAGTGACTTATTTAAAAAAATTAATAAAACGTCAATTTCTTTTAGAAGGAAAATTATTTAAAATTATTTTAAAAAATCATTAATTTCTTTACTTTAAATCAATACTAGAAAAATATCAATTATAGTCGAAGCTGGATTTTCATTGCTTTAAATAATTCAATTTTAAATTGCTAATATACACTATACATATATACCATGTAGTTCTTTTAGAACTGTGCTCTGAATTTTTCCGGACTATAAACACAATTAAAATTATTCTAGTAATCGCGAATTAAATTGACAAGCAATTTAATAATTTGATGCTACCATCAAGCATCATATTATAAAAATGTAATTAATATATTGAAATTGTTAATAAATTTATTGCGAAAAATATTACCTCGGCCAAGACTTGAACCCGGATCTCTTGTATTCTGACGAGCGTCCTAAGCCATTAGACCATTGAGATCTTAGTGATATTCTTTGCAATAATCAATACAATAAGGAAACAACGTCTTTCTTTCAGGCAACGTAATATAAACAATATTAAGAATCTTGTTGATTCAATTCGGCGCGCAGTTTTAAAAGACTATAATATGATATATATGCAAGTACATATATAATGTATATTAGTAATTCAAGATTGAATTACTAATATTATTTAAAACAATGAACATCCAGCTTCGTAATAGGCATTTTTCTAGTTTTGATTGTGTTTCTCACATATGCGGCCCAAAAATAAAGATTCTTAATATGTTTATTTTAAATGTTGATTAAAATATTAACTTTGTTTAAAAAACATATTCTATAAAAAATTCTTAACATTCATCTTCTTAGCATTCTCTTTTCTAAAGCTGTAGAATGTTTATTCAAAATATTTTTTTTAATACTTTGCATTTGGGATTGTTTTTGTCCATATCTTATAAACTCATTTCTCTTCGATGAATTGCTACATATACAACATATGTTACAAGTCAACGACAGCATAAACCTCATATGTGTGTACAATCACTTCTTTGTAATCTTATGTAATATGGTCAGATTTATCGTTAAGCAGAGAGAGAGAGAGAGAGAGAGAGAGAGAGAGAGAGAGAGAGAGAGAGAGAGAGAGAG